TTAATACAATTATAGCATGAATAATAAACATTTATCATGAAATAAGGAAATAAATAATAACTTTATTATTGCCTCTAGGGCATATTTCCTTCAAGATGCAGATCTAATGATCGGAAATGATGGATAACAGACACACCAGCATCACCAACTGGGTATTTTATAGGAGTAGAGATATCAGTTGGACCACCCTAACCCAAATTCCTAGCTACGTCACTGGTCAGCGGTGTCATGTGGAAGCCATGGAGGAAGAAAGGGAGACTAGAGCTGGTTTTCTGGTTGTCTTCTGTTTTTTCTTTGGATGTAGTGTTTGTGAAGCTCCCGTCGATGAAGGCAATTCACGGTTGTCGTGATGGAGGTGGCGGTGATGCAGGACCCGCTCTTCATCGATGCCACTCCCCTGAAGTCGGTGCTACCTGGCGGTTTGTTTGGTTGCATGGATTCAGAGTGGTGAAGGGGATTAAGAGGAATTAAATTTCCTACAAGTCAAATCCTCTCTCTAGCACTTCCAAGACTTAATTAACACGCAGAACATGTGGTGTTTGTGCTGCCATTGGAATATACGAGTACTTGTATATACCGCGGAATGGACAACTGGTTTTCATATCTTGACTTATTGTTCGGTAATTCCTTCTCGTGAATAGGGCACGAATTGATTTTCCTTTCATTGCTTCGGGAAGAGAAAAACGATGTGAGTATCAGTTTTACGCTATACTACATCCGTCCTGGTTTATTGGTCCCCTTAGTACTTTGTGCCAAATTTTAACCATAAATTCAGTTAATAAAATGTTAATGCATGTCACAAACAATAATATCATTCAAAACTATGTTTAAATGCGAATCCAACGATATAATTTTTTATAACATGCATTAATATTTTGTCAATTAAATCTATGTTCAAATTTTAGCACAAAATACGAAAATCATCAATAAATCAGGATGGAGGTAGTAGTATGTACTCCTACTGAACCATTCATAAGGCTGGTCATAGTAGGAGTAATTTAACAAGGATAAATTTGCCTATGTGACATGTAGTTAATAAGGAGAAAGGTGTTTAGAGTAACATAATATGTTAACATCACATAGCACTTCTAAAAGCAACAACTCTTTCGCTTTGGGTCTTTCGCGATAAAGGACGGGTCACACTTTTGGGCTGGCCTAATGGCGGCAAAGAAACAACTCTTTCGCTTTTGGTCTTTTGCGATAAAGGACGGGTTGGAGATTCATTTCTGGGAAGACATCTGGCTAGGCAATGCCAGTCTCCGAGAATAATATCCAGCCTTGTACAACATTGCTCGCGATAAGAACAATACTATTGCGCAGGTGCTCAGCTCATCCCCGCCGAATATTTCGTTCAGGCGGGATTTGGTTGGCGCCCGACTTATGTCATGGCATAATCTCTTATCCCGTCTGGATCTGATTAACCTGACGCAAGGCCGTGATGTATTTCGTTGGAACCTTACTACATCGGGGTCTTTCACGGTAGACTCTATGTATCGTGCGCTCACGCATTCTGAGGTACCGGAGAGCAATAACAAGAAAATCTGGAAGGCAAAGATTCCACTAAAAGTTAAAATATTCATGTGGTATCTTCATAGAGGTGTTGTGCTAACCAAAGACAACCTTACACGACGCAACTAGCCAGGAAGTAAGAAGTGTTGTTTTTATACTCATAACAAGACAATCAAACACCTTTTTTTTCAATGCACGTTTGTGCGTCCTACGTGGTCAGTCATTCAAATAGCGTCAAATTTGTATCCGCCCACAAGTGTTGCCAATATTTTTGGTCATTGGTTGGACGGTATTTTAAATAGATTCAAAACGCTAATAAGGATGGGAGCGTACGCCTTACTATGGTCGCTTTGGCTATGTAGAAACGATTTGGTTTTTAATGACAAAAATGCTTCTTCTCTGCAGGTTATTTTCGTTGTACGCACTCGTTTCGTACGTGGTCTATAATACAATAATTTATGACACTACTTTATGTTACTTCCTACTATGAAGATAGTAATATAGATTAGTGTCATATGCATACTAGTGTATGGTACTTCCCACTATGACTAGCCTAAGAACTGCGTGGAAATATTTGCACGGACTGCACAAAGCTTAGGTGATTTACTACGAAAACGTTGCACAAAACCACAAGAGAATTCAAACAAAAGGCATTGACTCCCGGCGCAGCATTCAATTCAAGAGCTACTGTCTAGTACTACTGATGGCACCACAGCTTTTCTTTGGGAAGGAAGAATTATGCCGTAACTGCAACTTGAGGAGCACTTGGCCTACGTGCAGCGTTGAAACCGCAGCACCTGCGAGGGTTACTTAAGAAGCACCGCATCTCACTGTCCATCACCGCCGACGTTTAACTTTTCTTAAACATGTAGCGACGTTACGATTACGATGTTATTTTACCGCTTGCTCTTTTCTGTCACTTTGCCGACGACGACATGTTGCTAAACCAACAACTGTATACGCGTATAATATGTGCAACTCGTGTGACCAAACTCAGATATCTTCCAATCACAGGTGGATCGCTTCCACCAAACTGCGGGGGAGCTCAGGGGCGCGTTAGAATCACAGGTGGTTGAGCCCTGCTACCACTCGCTTTTGGAACTAAAGGCCGGAGGGGAGCCCAAGTGGAACGGCCGCGGATCACACGGCTAGCTAGGTGGGAAGTTTCCCTTTCCCTTGGCGCCTTCCTGCCGTATCCAGTGCCCTCCTTGCATGCCAAGCGACTGGAACCGGCGACGACAGCGACGACGCTGGTAGATAGGATGGGGCTGGGCCATGGACGGCCGGAGGAGGAAGGTGGTCGGAGCCTGTTGCTGATTGGCAGCACATTCCCATCCGCCCACCGGCTGTCTGGCCTGCCCTTTAATTTGGCGCGCTCGATTATTAGGCTGGTCATAATGGGAATAACATACCTAGTAACATAAATGCCATATAAGCAAAAATGATGAGATGACAAGTAGTTAATGAGGAGAGAGATAAATAGAGTAATATAATATATTACCATCATATAGTGCTTCCCAATGCAAAATAAGTCTATAAAGTAATAAATGAAGACATTTATGTTACCATACATACAACACTATTAACTATGAGACTGCTCACAGTGGAGAGTAACATAGAGTACTAACTTGCCGATGTTACTAGTCTATGTTACTACCTTCATAGTGGGTAGTAACATATGAGTGATATCATGAAAGAGTTCATTTATTAGGCTATAGACTCATTATGTCTTGAAATGTGTGATGTTACAGTAACTAGCTAAGTTACCACAAATCCTTCTCTCCTCATTAATTAGATGTCACATAAGCAATTTTATATTGAAATGTATGATGCTACTAGTTAAGTTACTTTCATTGTGACTAGTCTGAAGGCGACTATGTCGTGGAACTGGCTGGGGAGATTCATGGATTTCAAGGCGGGCAGGTTGGTTGGTTGGGGGTGGGGGTTTAGCGTTGTGCTCGAACTGTTCATCCATCTTCTTTTCCGCAACAAGTCTCCAAAGGAAGAGAAGGATGCCCGACCCAACCTCATCGCCTCCTACGCTGCTTTACTTCCCTTTCAGATCCGATGGGTTGCTGCCCACTACACATGGCTGCAATGTGCACTGCTCCCGCGTGATCCTAGGCACTTGTATGGTCTCTCATTTTGGCGTGTGTATTTACACATACTCTCTTCCTTCTTCAAAGAGTGTACTTTCAACTTTTTTGAAAAGTCAAACTTCTTTATGTTTGACTGTATTTATACAATAATACATTAATATTTATGCCGTCAAATTAGTAACATTCAATTTACGATATAATATATTTTCATTATATACCTATTTGGTTTCACAAATATTGATATATTTTTGCACAAACTTGATCAAACTTTCAAACAGTTTGACTCTCCAACAAAGTTGAAAGTACATTCTTTCAAGAACGGAGGGAGTATACGCAGGACGACCATTCTTGGATTGTCACACGAGCGTGCAGGTTTTGTGCCCGGCACGGCGGCGTCCGGCGCTTTCGGTCGAGGGCGCTTTTCTGGTGATGAATCCGCGTCGTGAATCGTCCCAACTACTGCTACTTCAAAGTTGACACTACGTACATGAAAGGATTGTTGCAGGTCTGGCATTCCATTGCAGTTGACGCAAGAAACGCTGTTCCGTTCGCTTCTCCAGCAAATTGACACTGGCCCATCCATGTGTCGTATTGTAAAACAAACTAGTAACTCTATTCTCTCCTTGATTAATATAATAGGCCAGTAACCGTCTTGATTCATTTCTCCAACAAATTGCCGTCGTCGTCATGCAAGAGTGAAACTACAAAGGAAAACGAACAGGGCAAAATATTCAGGCTAGCTGGAACACCTGTTTTTCATCAGCAGAGCGCATAATAAAAAGATCCAAGGAAATATCATGGCATTTTGCCGTACCGACTGCAGGGGAAGGTAGTGAATTGATTTTTTGACTAGATAGAGGATCACCTACGGAAAGTCGACGGCGTTTTCGATCAGCAAAGGGCTTACAAAGGCATTCATTTATACAGCTTGCCATGACAAGCAGATTTACGAAATCTTTGCACGAGTCGTGTACCTTCTACTTCTAGTCTGGTATTGACACGTTCAAGAATTGCATGCACGCAGTTGTATGATATCAGTGCAGTTCATGAAAGAAACACTGGTTAGTAATTTGCTTGATTCATTGCTCCAACAAATTGCCATTGTCATGCAAAGAAGCGAAACTACAGAGGAAAACAAACAGGGCAAAACATTCTGGCTAGCCCACAGTGCCGCAGAAACACAGGTTTTTCAACAGCAGAGCTGGGTAACAGGATTCAAGGAAAAATCTCATGGCCTTTTGTGGTGCCAATTGCGGGGTAAGCAGCGGAGAGTCGACGCCGTCTCGATTAGCAAAATAGGAGTCTAGGGCTTGACAAAGGCATTCATTTATACAGCCATGCCAAATAAAGTTACCAAATCTTTATGTGCAGCGTAATGCGGTGTTGTCCAAGTTATGTTGGCACTGCCTCGCCAACGGATGATGATGGGTCGACTTCAGCACTCTTACTGTCCTCAGAATCCATGAAACCTTGTTTGAAGCGATCATAATTTGTTGGCTCGTCTGGCTTGAATGGGCGCTCCCCTAGAACCCGGACCAGATCATCCTGATGGAGGACCTCCTTCTCAAGCAACAGCTCTGCAACTTGGGCAACTTTGTCCTTGTGCTTCCTTATCAGCTCAGTAGTGGTGTTGTAGGCCTTGGCAACCAATTCCCTCACCTCAGTGTCAATCATGGATGCTGTCTGCCCGCTATATGGCTTGTCCATTCCAAAACCATCATACCTTTGAGGGAAAGATAGGAGCCCAACCTTTTCACTGAAGCCATATACTGCAACCTGCTCGTAAGTCATTTTAGTAACTTTCTCCAGATCATTCTGAGCACCAGTCGAGATCTTCCCAATCAAAACCTGGGGAGGAAAAAACAATTATGCCACTCGCTAGTTTGCTACGACAACAAAACTCGGCTATACAAGCAAGGGATCTATGAGATGTTGTGTTACCTCCTCAGCGGCTCGGCCACCTAGGGTCATGCATGTCCTGTCAAAAAACTGTTCTTTTGTCATCAAAAGATTCTCACTTGGTACGTACTGGGCAAAGCCTAAAGCAGCTGTTCCACGAGGTACAATTGTAACTTTAAGGAGTGGCTCTGCATGCTCCAAAAACCATCCAGCAACAGCATGACCAGATTCATGGTAAGCAACGGTTCGACGCTCCAGTTTGCTAATGACCTACACACAGATCAATAAGTACATAGTTAAGAATATGGATACCAGTACCATATGTCCATTTATCTATAGTTCAATTAACAGTCACATCGTATCAAGAAAGGTATGCCTTCCACTAGCTGCATCCAGTGTTGGAGTATTATTTACACTGGACAGTAGATACAGCGAGATTAACTTAACTACTGGATTGGAGATAAATGGAATCTTACCGTATTTTTCTTCTCCAAGCCTCCAATTACCCTATCAATTGCAGATTCAAAATGCTGCATTGTAATCAGCTTCTCATCTCTTCTTGCAGTAATTAGAGCAGCCTCGTTACAGATATTGGCAATATCTGCTCCAGCAAATCCAGGTGTCAGCGCAGCTAATCTTTGTGAATAGAACGACGGCTCCTTATCCAGTTTTAGCTTTGCAAGGTAGATGCGGAATATTTGTTCACGGCCATTTATGTCTGGCCTATCAATACTTATCTGACGATCAAATCTTCCTGGTCTTAGCAAAGCCTTATCCAGGATGTCAGGTCTATTTGTGCCTGCAAGTACAACTACCCCAGCTGTTGTTCCAAACCCATCCATCTCTACAAGCAACTGATTCAACGTATTTTCACGCTCACTGTTCCCACCAGAATACCCTCCACGGCCTCTTGCACGACCAATTGCATCAATTTCATCAATAAATACAATACTAGGTGCACATTCCCGAGCTTCTTGAAATAAGCCTCTCACCCTGGATGGTCCAACACCAACAAACATTTCCAAGAAGTCTGAACCAGATATAGACAAGAACGGTACACCAGACTCTCCAGCAGTAGCTTTAGCAAGGAGAGTCTTTCCTGTGCCAGGGGGTCCACAAAGAAGAGCACCCTTCGGTATTTTAGCTCCCAGTGCTTCATATTTGTCAGGATTTTTCAGGAAATGAACAAATTCCATGATTTCTTGTTTAGCTTCATCACAACCAGCTACATCCTTAAAGAAAAGCTGCAGTATACAAAAAAAAAGGATTACTTGAGCTCAGCTTTGCTGTTGCTTTGCAATGATGAACCCAGTCAAAGCTCCTTTACTATACAATGGAAGCAAGAAATAATCTTCCAGATTACATCAAATTAGCGATGGAACAAAGCAGCAGACACAAAAACTAACCTTGTTTTTGGAGTTTTTATCCATCTTTGTCACTTGAGCTTTTCCAATACTGAAAATACTACGGCCTCCTTGCCCAGAACCACTACCAATACTAATCGACATCTTTCTCCCCACCACATATAGCAAGCCAACAATGAAAAGTGTCGGGGCAAACTTCATGATTTCCTGGAACCAGCTTATCTTATCAGCATAAATCACAGGGATGTAATCATGTCGATCTATCCCCAATGCTTCCTGAGCCTCTTCTAACTTCTCTTCGAAAGAATCAACACTTCCAATGTTAAAGTAATACTTGTATTTGCTAGGAGCCTCTTGACCAGGAAGATGACTGGTAGTAATACTTGTATCATTATGCTGGTTTTGCTTGGTCGAGGGTGAACTTCTGACATGAACTTTTGCAACTGTCTTGTTTATAACAACGATGCGGTCAACTAACCCAGGTTCTAAAAGCTTGTTCTTAAATTCTTGAAAGCTTATCTGCAAGAGTTAGAAGCAAATGGGCCTTATGAGTTATAGTGGACTAGTAAAAGAAACTACATCCTGTATATCAAAAATGCAACAGATATGAAACTATCGATTAATAAAGATCTATCATATCAGGTGTTACCAGGACGGCAGGAGGTACAGTATCTTAGAGACTGAAAATAATAAAATATAAAGCGCATGGTAGCAATGCCATTAAGCAATATTAATAACTGGGGTAGTAAGATATGTCATCAGTTGTGAACTACTGGGGTGTATTTGTGGCAAGCTGCAAGGAATCGAATATTTGGGTGCGACTATGAAGTTACCTCTTTTCAGTAACATTAGTAACTGATAGACATTAGAGAAATACCATATACTAAGAACATCTAAAGGAAAAGCACATGTTTTCTCTACCTCTTAGCTAGATCACACCACCAATATTTTTTTCAAAAGAGTTTAATCATTTATACAACCACCTGGCACCACTCAACTGGATTCTGAAGCAATTTCCATATTCAAATAATGTACACACCACATTTAAATGAACCAACTCTTTTCAGATGTCTATGCAGAAGAGATCAGGTGACCAACACAATTAACCAAACTGGCAATGACTATTATTATTGTATAAACAGAGTACCTCCTTCTCCGATGAACCCGATAATGTTGCCAGTAATAGGCCAAGAAGGAATACAGGACCAATAGAGTCCTGGAATAGCTTCAGAAGTTTCTGCTGGACGTTTGGCTGACCACCTGAACTGGGTTCATCTGCATAGTGCACGGAGGAAGCAACAACATTAGTGCATAGCCCGGCACGCCAAGTTAAAAGGACCAAATGCACACAACCGCGTGAAAAGCTGCAAACTTGCAGGCACATTTGTACATGTTCATGATGGCACACTCATTTTTTAGGCAAACTACAAGCAGATGTGGCACTTAACACTGAAAGACTAGCTAAAGCTATATCCTACTCCCTCCGTCCCATAATGTAAGACGTTTTTTGACTCTAGTATAGTGTCAAAAAACGTCTTACATTATGAGTATATATCCCCTCTGCCCAAAAGGGCAAGACATGGGATCCAAGCAGTCAATTTTTTAAGACTTTGACCATTAGTATATGTGAAAGTATACATACTGGCTATATGAGGATAATGATGAAACTGGATTTGTCTTGCAAAATCCCTCAACTTTTTTTTCAAATGCACGGCAGAACCATTGCACATTCTATTAGGAGAAGCAGAAGGCAATAACAAGGCTATGTATAAGAGACAGGAAAATAGGTTCCATAGACAACTCCATGGATTTCCCAAACTACAAAAACACTGTGGAATGCAAACTCAGAATCAAAACATACTCTTCGATTCAGACTTGTTGCTCCCATCCCCTTTCGGCACCTCCTTCTCCTTGGGGAAATCTGAACCATCAAGGGGCGCATCATCAACACAGCCACCGACAAAGCGGATCAAAGGAACACCAAAACAGGGAAGAAAGCTTACTCTTTTTCGACTGGTCGGAGAACAGCCGCCGGGCCTGCGAGTTGGCGAGCAGGGACCTCCCGCCCCGGACCTTCCCGGCCCCGTTGGCCGCCGCAGCCCGGCTCCCCAGAGCGGACGTCAGGTAGCGACGCACGAGCCGCAGACCGGCGCCCTCACCGCCGGGCAGCAGCGGCGACGGCGACGGCGAAGGCGAAGGCAGCGGCGCGCGGAACACGCCATGGCCCCCGAGCAGATAACCCTAGGGGGACCGAACATTGCACACCGTGAGCCGATGCACCCGGAGCCGCCGGAGAGAGAGAGAGAGAGAGAGAGAGAGAGAGAGAGAGAGAGAGAGAGAGAGACCTGGCGCGACCGGGAGGAGCGCGCGAGCGCGCGGGAGAGGGCGGAGAGGCTCATGGCGGCGGCGGCGAGGGCATGGGAGGGGGGCTGCGGCCTAGGGTTTCGGCCGCGCGATCGTACGACCGATTCTTCCTCTTTTCTCCTTTTCTCTCGCGGGTCGGTGCGGTCCGTGTGAAGTGTGAAGGACGGAGTGGCGAGACGAGACGAGACGACGGTTTGATTTGCGGCGGCGGAGGGCGACGGCGTCTCGTGTTTGCGGTCGGGCCAGGTGTACACGTGGCGGTGTTTAACGAGGTTGAGCGTTTTTGTTTTGGATTTTAGTTCTGGTTTACTCTTTGGCGCCTGCTACAAATCAGGCGGATGTCCAGCTAGCCGTTCGATCCTGCACCGATGGCCGTTTGATCGAGTCACCACAGGCTTGGCCTTTCTTCTCTAATCCCTATCCATCTGATTCTGATACAGAGCAACGCCGCCTGATGCAAAGCAGGACAGCACCCCTCCTGGCACCTTGCGTTGGCGACCTTGCGTCGGCGACCTCGCGTCACTGGAGCCGCCGGCAATTGCTGCATCGCAGCTCCAAGAGTCGTCGGCAACCGCTGCATCACACCATCGAAGCCATCGGGTGCTGCTCCATAGCAACACCGAGCGTGGCGAAGAAACTTGGATGCATCGCCGATGAGCTTTGGCGAAGCTTCATTGACGCACCAGCGAAGCTTCATTAGAACTCCGGCGAAGCTTCATTGCAGCATCGCCTGCTGTCGTCGCAGCACTGGCGAAGCTCCATCGTAGCGCCGGTGCGGCAAAACCTACAGGGTGAGGGCAGCAGCTCGGCGAAGCTCCATTGCAGCGTCGGAGTTGCAACGCCATGGCCGGCCCGTCGTGGTCGTCGTCTCGGCATCGGCGAAGCTCCAGTGCAGCGCTGGAGTTACAACCGCCATGGCCGTCGCAGTCATCATCACAATGCCGACGATGCTCCAATGCAGCAGCGATGGGCGCGCGCGATGCTCCGTCGTAGCGTCGGCAGCCACGGACGGAGGCGCTGATCAATTGCAGCACACCGTGCTCGCCTAGCTGATCTCCATGGATGTTGCTTTTTTGGAGAGGTAGCAGGGCAGTAGCAGTGTTGGGGCGGGCTATACGGCAACGGGTGACGGTGGTCAGCGACAAGGAGTTTGCAGCGTGTCTTTTGGAAGAGGTAGCAGGGTAATAGCAGTCGTGTGTAACGGCGGCGGTGGTCGGGAGAGGTAGCACCACCGGAGGAAGAAGAAGGCCTGTAAGAAGAAAAACTTGTGGACGTGAGCTTTTCCGTGAAGATAACGCTACGAGGAGAAAGCGGTGGGTGGGCCAGTAGGGGACACGTGTCGTTCGCTTGAGGGGGCTTACAATCGAGTGGGATCATCCGGTTGTTTTTAAACATTTTCCTTACTCTTTTCCTTTTAACAGTGTGGACTCTGATTAGTGTGGTTCGGCTCGTCAGCCCAAGCCAGGGGACAAAAATCCGTGGCGACTATCAAAGCCCAAATGAACGATATCAAAGCCCACGTATAACTAGATCGATAGACGTCCCTAAAAGAAAAAACAAACTAGAACAAAAAGAACAAACAAACGGGCGCAGCCCATTTGCAAAGGTGTGTCTTTCTTCACCACAAACAAAAAAAGTGTGTTTTTCTGTCCATTTTCAGATTTTGTTAAAATATATGTAAATTACAATGAAGTCGGTAAAACAAGAATAAAGAATTCATGTATTATAAAAGGTATTCACATGTATACAAAAAAATGAAGTATTGAAGAAACATTCATGCATTTTAAAGATGTAAATGTATTTATAAAAAATATTCATGTAATTATAAAACATTCCATGTGCTTTAGAAATGGTTGTGTAATTTTTAAAAAGTAGTCATGTGCTACAAAAATAATTCACATATTATCAAAAAAATAAAAAATATATTCATGTAATTATAAAAGTTTCCATATATTTAGAAATGGTTGTGTAATTTTAAAACAAGTATTCATGTGCTATAAAAAGAATTCACAGATTATAAAAATATAGTAAAATATTTTCAAAATATTCATGTAATTATAAAAGTTTCCATATACTTTAGAAATGGTTGTGTAATTTTTTAAAAATTATTCATGTGCTGTAAAAAGAATTCACAGTTTTTAAAAAATAGTAATATATTTTCCAAATATTCATGTAATTATAAAATTTTCCATATACTTTAGAAATGGTTGTGTAATTTTTAAAAGTATTCATGTGCTATAAAAAGAATTCACATATTTTTTAAATATAGTAAATATTTAAAAATATTCATGTATCTTAAGAAATGTTCACATATTTTGAAATATATTCATGTTACTAAATAGTACTACCTCTGTTTGTTTTTATAAGACGTTTTAGACTTTCAGACACTGTTCAAAAACAGCACAAAGCAAGTTGTCTGAACGTCTTATAAAAACAAACGGAGGGAGTATATCTGTAAATTTAAAATGTTTTAATAATTATAAAAACATTCACGCACTTTTGCAAAATGTCCATGTAATTTGAAAAGGTGTTCACGTCTTTTTTGAAGTTCATGTAGTTTTAAAAGGCGTTCACTTGTTTTTGAAATGGGCATGTGTTTTCACAAAATATTTCTTTTAACAAAATGAAATATAAAGATGGAGAATTAAAACAAAAATGGTGGTCATTCCAGAATGCCGACACGAGTGTGATGGTTTTTTTTAGAAGGAGTGTGATGGTCTTAGTAATTAACGGTTGCTTCCACGATGCAACAGGCCCGCCTTTTGATAACAAACCAACACCCATTCTTTCATAAGAAATTCCTGGTACCCATTATTGTCTAGAAGATTAGTTTCCACCAAGGGGCCACTTCCGTTTACAGTAAGGCTGGTCATAGTTGGAGTAACATAACATATCTCAAGACAAATTTGCTTATGTGACATGAAGTTAATGAGGAGAGAGATACTTGTGGAAGCATAATATGTTACTGTAACATAACACATCTCGAAGTAAAATTTAGTCTATATCTCAATTAATAAAGATTTGCATGTTATCATTCATATGTTATTACCCATTATAAAGGTAGTAACTTACACCAGCAACATATGCATGTTACTGGTCTAAGTTACTCCCCACTATGACCAGCCTAAGTTCTTCCCATCAAAATCTCTCTCTAAACTTAAGAGGGTCATATTATGTCTGGTCATTGTTGGGAAATTGATGTGAAGTTAAGGTGACAAAGTGTTCATTAAAGAGGCAAGAACATAGTAGTGCTACGTTGCCTTTGATTCCATCAAACATGTCTCCGTCATGCAAAGTAATTACCAAACGGATAGATTAGCCAGCCACCTAGCTGTCGGATTCATAGGAATCGAAGCCAACAGAGTAGTAGGAAGTGATCAATTAGTAACAGTAGCTAGTACAAGTACTAATCAACAGCACCGAGTTGATCGATTACATCGTTGACAGGAAAAACAAAAATATATGGATTCTGATCGATAATGTCATAAGGCGTGATCGGCCAATTCCTACCGGAAAATCTGTTTGGAAATCACGGTGTTACCCTGAACGAGAGATAATAATATGTGCAGACAATTTTAGGACAAAATGCAGGTGTGTTTATGGTACCTGATCGAATAATTTAATTGACACATTCAGGTATATAGTTTCTTGCCTTGAGAATACTTGTACCTTTGGGTGAGAGACAAATAAACAAAATAGATTGTGCGTTTGCTAATCTTTAAGGTAACTAGATTTCTTTTTCAGACGCAAGTTGAATCAATGCAGCCGGAGGATCAAACAGGGACGGCTCGGTGTCCTGGACAAGCCCTCTGTTGAAACATAGATGGGCTTTGGGCTCATATAAAAAGTAATACTAGGACATGAGGGCTTCTTCAAAGGCCGGAAGCAACTAGTTAACGAGCGCTCCTTCGGGAGCCTCGCAACGATCAGCGCCATTTGGCGCGCTCTCAGCCATTCGCCACGTGTCGCGATCTGGACACACCCTTCGGATTTTTTTTTATTTTTCCGCACGCGTTTTCGGCTTTTTAAACGGGGTTTTTTGGGTTTTTTCGACGTTTTTGTTTTCCACCAGTCTTCCTTAGCTTTTCGATGAAAAAAACTCATTTTTTCTCTTTCGCGAAAGTTATGGTTTTTTTCCACGAGAGGCACGGTTGTGCTTTAGCGACAGTCACGACCGTGCCTTTCGGAAACGAAAAAAAATGTGTTTTTTCTTTTTTTTTCTTTCGCGAGAGTCACGGTTTTGCTTCCGCGAGAGGCACGGTTGTGCTTTCGCGAGAGTCACGGCCGTGCCTCTCAGAAAAAGGAAAAACAAAACGTGTTTTCTATTTTTTTTCTTTCGCGAGAGTCACGGTTTTGCTTCCACGAGAGGCATGGTTGTGCTTTCGCGAGAGTCACAGCCGTGCCTCTCAGAAAGGGGAAAAATACACGTTTTCTGTTTTTTTTCTTTCGCGAGAATCACGGTTTTGCTTCCGCGAGAGTCACGGCCGTGCCTCTCAGAAACAAAAAAAAACGTGTTTTCTGTTTTTTTTCCTTCCACGAGAGTCACGGTTTTGCTTCCACGAAAGGCACGGGCGTGATTTTCGCGAGAGGCACAGGCGTGCCTCTTTCGGAAAGGGCAAAAAACCATACTCTCGATTTCGGTTTTTTTGCCCGGTTTTTTTCGTGAAAAAAAAGTTCGTCAAAACCTATCAACATGGATCTAGTTTTGAAGATCTCGACGCGAGGAATCCAATAGTGAAAACGGTTCGAGATTTGGACGCACGGTTTAAAAGATAAAACGTTTTGAATAAATGGATCTACGAAAAAAGGGAAAACTTCCAGGTTGCGACAAGTGGCATGCTGCATGTGCACCACTTGTCGCGACCTGGAAAAGTAGAGTGTTCTTTGCAACGAGTATTCCTTAATTAGTGATTTCGTCAAAGGCTCAAGGTAGACCCTCGAACCGCTCGATACGTCCAAACATCGTTGTCCGGACCGCGAAAGCCATCCCACACGGGCATGTATCGGTTCGTCGACGGTCCGGATATACTTTTCC